ACACTTACATGAAGACCACTTTGGTCCAGTCCCCTAAGTGGTTCCTGAAAGCAGATTTGATTGCATTTATATATTTGTTGCACTGAGAATATAATGCTTACAATTGTATCTATCAACAAAAATCATTTGAACCAGTTTAGAATCAAACTTTACAAAGGTAATCTGGTGCTCAGATTGTGTGTTGAAATTCACTCCCTCTCAGAGGGACCCATCTAATTTCAGAAAGTATTAGGAACGGGTTGGTGAGACCCAAGGCTTAGGGACCCCAGAGCATCTTTGGTGAACTGCTTGAGTTTAACCAGCTAAAATTCACAGCTTGTCATTACTATCAGGCAAGCTTCATGCTGTTTGTCCAACAAAGATCACCTTGTCAGTTAGATCTTGGCTGGATTTAACAGGAGTTGAGTAGGAAGAATCTCTACCCCCATGACTGATCTGCCCCTTTTAGTTGTGCTGATGAATCAAGCTGGCTGGACTGTCATCAGCAATACCCTGGTGTATTGCAGACATGCTTAGCTGGGGAACTGGACCACTGAGACCACCACAGAGGGTTGACTCAATACTGGCATTTCATTGGCAAGCATCAAATTGGAGTCAACTGCCCTCAGAGCACAGTCACTCGGTCATCATTTGACATCCAATAAGTGCAGCGTTGAATCTTCATTAGGTGTATAGCAGATACCCGTGAACTTCCAGATGAATAGCACATCAGCATGGAACACAAGAGCATTGTCACCGTCGTCCTAAAGTGCGGTTAATGACGAAGGTCTTAAGGTGGACCTTGAAGGAGGCGAGGGAAGTAGGCGAGTTGAAGGGGCTGGCTGAAGGGACTCTGGAATGGAGTTCCAGAGGATGGGAGCAGATAAGCTGAAAGTCCGACCACCGATTGTGGGGGAGATGACGTAAAGCAGGTCGGTGCCTGGTGAGCAGAGGAAGCCACCAGGTTTTTGGTTACCTCTCCATATACCAATCAACTTCATTATATAAACATGCTGAGTTTGTGTTTGAGCATTATTTCACTGTGCTCTACCATATTGTTTGTTCTGCTTCAATTATTCTGGGTGCTGTTGTGATAATTTGATCTTGTTGGTTCATTAAAAAAAAGACAAGTAAGAACAATCTCTTAATCTTTTGTGCAACGATCAATATACATTTGAATAATAGTTTCATACACCAACTCTGTTGTTCAAGTTTTCCAACAGTTACCACAAACTTTTCCACAAACTATTACATCCACAGGAAAGTGGTTCATGCAATTTACACTGAGTCCTGAAAAGAGAGAAGATAAAAGGTTTGTTTCTCAAAACAAAGGCTAAAATGAAATGAACAGAATGCAGAGTCTCATTGCAATGAACATTTTATCTCAAAGCCAAATTGCCAAATAACAGCGATTTTCTATTCTAAACACTTCACAAAAAATTCAATGATGACAACAAACCCATTTAATCACAGAAAGCACATAAGGAACAAGGTAGATATAACTCCAGGATGAAAACATAAACACAGTAAAGATGATAATGAATGACTGAACATCACAGAAAGATTAGCTTTTTTGGGAGAAAAACGAAACTGTTGTGAGATTCGTTCACTCTGTTTGTAAAAGTCACTCTTTGATACATTTTATATTGTCCGCTGAAGAATTATTTCTACAACAGCACAACAAATGTTTTTTTTACCAAAATGAGAATCATTAAGTGAAAAGTAACATATATCAATGCAATGTGTGCCTGTACAGCTTTGGATGTTTGTATCTTAATCTAGCCCATTTTAAATAGGGATCAATTGATTTTAGCTTGTCAATAATGACATTATCAATTGGAATATAGTTTCTAATATTATGAAGGGGCTGCTTCATAAAGGCACGTCATACTGGAAAAAGAGCCTGGGAATGTAAAGTCATCTGTTCCAGGAACCCATGCACTTCTCACTGACTGATACTTTGTCTCCTACCAGAGCATCTCCTTGAAGTAGTGTTCGTGAAAAATATTGGTTTCCCTACAGGATATGCACTTTATAGCACCGACTCTGTATTTTTTACCATTCAAGCACAATGCAAACATAGCACGAAAAGGAGAGAAAGGGGTCAAATCACTGAACAAATAGTAGAGCATAACATTCTACTGTGAAGTGGTAAAATGTGGGTTCCTGCTTATGACACTATGACAGTTTTTAACCTTATCCAGCATTGTCTGAAGAGTAACTAATCCAAAAGAAAAAAGAGATTCTGATAATAATTCTGGTATATAAGTAATGAAGAGTGATTCAGACACCTGAACAGATTCTGATTCGAAAAAAAACACAAGGGGACAATATAATTCGGATTTTTAAAATATGATTAGGATAGTTAACTTGGACCACAAGTAAAGAACTAGAGGACATAGATTTACCATTAATAATCCTCAAATGAAGGTAGAGATTCAAGAATCTTTTCTCCTTACATACTGAAGTGGATAATGTGGAACAGACGCTCAATAAAGTCAGATAAGATTGTGACAATCAATTCTGACCATAAAGAAAAATATCTGGTTGGAAATGTGATTGAAATGTATAACTGTAGCTGCACATTGAGATGAAAATATTCAACAGGGCGCAATGGTTACCTGTGGAGAAGAGCAAAATGGGAATGATTATTGTAGATACAGTAACATGATGGCTGAATGTTTTTAATTAGGGAATACTCTTGCAGAGGTTTTCCTCAGAGAATATAGGTGGTGTGTGTGTAAACTCTGGAGGTAGTGTACTTAATGGACCAAATGGCCTTTTCCTATGTTTTTTCTAAGAACAACGATGACTTGCATTTATATATCCGCTAATGCTAGTTCACAGTGAAACACACAGTATGTGCAAGCCTGGAAGTGAAAATGCAAGGATTATAAGTGGGTCATGTACCCATGTGCTGCTAGTGGAGGAGTTGTGAGTAGCTTAAATAATCTTAGATAGGGAAATTGACAAAACAATAATATAAAATACATCAATTTTAAATCAATGTGTCCTTGCATTTATAAATTATTGATAATCACCTGACAGTGCTCAAAGAACAATAGACAAGCTGAGTGAATTTTCCACAATGAATAAGTACTTGCCTGTTTAAAAAATAAAAGTTGCTGCCCCTAAACTTTGGAACACTTTCCCTCAATCCCTCTGCCTTGCCCCCTCTCTCCCCTTTTCAAGTCCCGCCTGAAAACCTTCCTCTTCGACCGTGCTTGTGGTCACCTCCAGCCACCCCCACCCCCACCACTGGCTGAGAGTCAGTCTCTGCCACTGTTAAGCGCTCTGAGACGCTACCCTGCATGGAACGTGCTATATAAGTGCAAGTTGTTGTTGTTGTTGAAGTAATTGATGCTTCAAAAAGTCACAGTGGCCTCTCAAATGTCGTTCAATGTATTTGAAATTAGTTATAGGTTTTGAAAGGGAACAATAGTAGACGTAACAGTATGTAATGCAGAAGTCTCAGAAAGGAACCGTAGAGGTATATAAGATTGAGAAAGTAAACAAAGACCAATACTCTTGGATACCCTAGTGTACCCTAGAGGGCACAAGTTCATGATTGTGAAGGACAGTTTCAAGACAGACACCAGAAAGTATTTGTTTAGATAATGGCAAGAATGATTTACTAGGAAGGGTGGATAATAATAATAATAATCCTTTGGGAGGACGTCCCAAAGCGCTTCACAGAATATACTGTAAAGTGAATTGACTGCATATTTGTGGGCGAACGCGGCAGCCAACTGCGCACAGCGAAGTCCCACAAACAGTCATGGATTGAAAATGACCAATTTATTATTGTTTTTGTTTTTTTGGAGGGATTATTATGAATGGATGAAACCAAGATGCTTCATAATAATAATCCTTGCATTTAATATAGCACCTTATCACCTTGATGAGATGTCTCAAAGCCCAGGATATACTGTAAAAGTGGATTGACTGTATTTTGTGGGCGAATTGTTGTATCTTTCAGATTCAATCTTTCGGTTGAATCTCATGCTTGACTAATTTAAAAAAAGCTTGATGCTGAAATGGAAGGACAGTTCGAAGGATGAGTTCAAATAGGTTGAAGAGATTTTTTCATCCATACTTCCCTTGTGATTGTTTGTATGCTGGGGCTGAAAATAATAGAATTATAGAATCTTACAGCACAAAAGGAGGCCAATCGGCCCATCGTGCCTGTGCTGTCTCTTTGGAGGAGCTACCCAATCAGTCCCTTTTGAAAGTTGTTATTGAATCTGTTTCCACCACCCTTTCAGGCAGTGCATTCCAGACCGTAACAACAACAAGAACAACAAGATTACATTTGTATAGTGCCTTTCACGTCGGTAGGATGTCCCAAGGCGCTGAAACATCTATTACTTCTGTGTAAAAAAAATTATCATCTTCCCTCTGGTTCTTTTGCCAATTATCTCGAATCTATGTCCCCTGGTTACCGACCCACCTGCCAGTGGAAACAGTTTCTTTCTATTTACTTTGTCAAAACCACTCATAATGTTGAATACCTCTATTAAATCTCCCCTTAACCTTGGTCCAGGAATAGGATTATTTTTTTTTCTAGTTCCAGATGTAGATAATCTAAGATTTCACCTAAGCTACTGAAATATTGTAACAAATTTGTTAATTCTCCAGATGCTAGTAAATACGTTGACTTTGATGGTGAGCGGGTAATATTCTGATCTTTGGCAGTGTATGTTTAGAATGCACATTGCCAATAGTTGAAAAATTAACCAACAAATCCTACTTACACTTAATTTATATTCTTATATCGTTACGGAGTCTGAATGGTGCTGAAACATTTGTGTGTTGTTTTGTTTCAGCTGAATCTAATGTTTTGTGAAGTCCCCACACAACAAATACTAGGATAATAATATGAATATTTTTGAAGTGCTATCAATTGCAACTCCAGATGATTGACATCCACATTCAGAAACACCACTACTTAAAAAAAAATATTCTGGTAAGGTAAATAGTTTTAAACACACACTAAACTACTAAATTAAAAGAAGACAGATCACATTTTCCATGCAGGTGAGGGTTTTACTGGAGTGTCTTGATGGTTAACAGCTAAAATACAATAGACCCACAAATATAAAAAAAAGCATTAAAAAAAGTGCCCTTGTTTGCTAATCAAAGGCAACAGATCATCATGAAATATATCTACCTGAAGGCTTATTCAGTTTCACAATTCCTTAAATCTTTGTTTAAAAAATGAGGAATACAGATGTGTTTTAAGTTTTAAATCAACATTTACATCTTATACTGAGGTTTGTGCTATGACTCAATAAAGAACTTGGACAGGTCCTCTGGTGGAGTGCTCTTCTTCTGAGTCGGAATAGCAGGAAGCACGCGGTTGATTCTCAGCGAATCGTCTGACATAACTGGCAGAAATGAATAAAGTGAGTTGCTTTGGACAATGCCTTCTCTCTGGGATCTGGTCCCCAGTGCTGGTGGGAGGTTCACTGCAGTAGTCCTTATAGACATCAGAGGCTGAGATTTTGTTTTGATCATATTCTGAGACATGTGATCACGTGGCAGATTGCCTGAAGACAATGAAAAATATGTTTAATTTTAAATATCAAAGTTATATCTTTTAGCGACAGCATTGTTAAATAAGCCCCTCACTTCTTAAACTTTTAAAAATAATTTTAGAAAAGTGATGATTAGATCACTACTCTTCCAAAAATGTTCATTGCCTTAGGCGTAAGACCATTGTTTTAACATTTAAGATTGTGCAGAATTTTGGAATATATGTTTTGTATATTCTTACATTTAGTCATAATTTGGAAGCCAATGATCTGCATTTCCTACGACAACGGCCTTAGGGCTAAGACATTTGTCCTGGTGAAAAAGAAAATAGGTTCAAATCTGATTATGATGATAAAGTAGGTTCTGATGAAAGGTCATCGACCTGAAACGTTAACTCATTTGCCTCTCTCCATAGATGCTGCCTGACCTGCTGCTTGTTCCCAGCGACTTCTGTTTTTATTTAAATTCCTATTATTCTTTATATAATATAATCTGATGTCACCCGTGGTTAACTGAGAAAGCAGCAATACAAAACCTATAAGATGTGATGCTAAGATCATGCCCAATAACTCTGCAAATATTTACCTACATTTGTGAGCACAGGAGTTGATTATTGGAGCTAGATTGGCCCGTGTTAGAACTGCATCTTTTATTTTCATTTTATCCATGGAGACTTGCTGCATAATTTCTGCTAAAAAGAACAAAAATACAGTATGAATATATCAGAAATTGTAAAATGCAATGACTGAACGCAGCAGCCAATTTTTGCACAGCAATGTTGTACAAACAGCCATCAAGTTTAATATAGCGCTGTGTGATAAGGCACGATATTATCGTCCATGCGTTACCTCCCGACTCGACTTTTCAAATGCCCTCTTTGCCGGTCTCCCCAGCTCCACCATGCACAGGATCCAGCTGGTCCAAAACCCCGCTGCCCACATACTCACCCGCAATAAACTCCATACCCCCATCACACCAGTTCTAGCCAGGCTCCACCGGCTCTCTATCGAGAACGGATCAATTTCAAGATCCTCACACTTGTTTTCAAAGCGCTCTGGGACGCTACCCTGCGTGAGGGGCCGCTAAATAAAGTTGTTGTTGTCGATAATGTCCTTGACAATGAGCTCTGTTAAACTGAAGTGACTGTTGCTGTGTAAGCAACCCCAGCAACTAATTAGAGCTGGTAGCAACACACAAACAGTAATTAGATGAATGACTAAGTGATCTGCTGGATTTGGATGAGGGGGATCATTGGTTCCTTGGGAATGCTCCTTGCTCTTCAAAATAGTGCAATGGGACTATTTTGATCAAACACATGGGACTTTGTGGTCCTATGTCTAAACACATTTTGTGATCTTGTGAAGTGTTACCAATTGAGCCAGACTGGTATCTGCCCAGAATCCCTAATAGCTTGTTGAGCCATATTACTAAATAATACTGCATGCCCCAAATATCCTCTAGTCTGCAAGAGCTTTTTGTCTTGAAGAATTTAAGATCAATCAGAAATTGTTAAATAAATTATACAATAAAAATGGTGGGCTTGTGTAAAACCAACTTTCAGATTAATTTTCCATAATTCAGTGCAATCGTAAATTTCAAGGCAAAATAGTCTGACACTAGATAGAATTTTTAGCCTAAAATAATAATACTATTAACAATAATAATAATCCTTGTATTTGATATAACACTTTACTGTGTCAATGAGATGCCTCAAAGCGCTTCACAGGATATACTGTAAAGTTGTTTGAATTTGTATTTTGTGGACAAAACTCAGCAGCCACTTTGCGTACAACAATGTCCCACAAACAACCATTTTTAAATGACATGCAATATGACTGGATGTCAGCTACATCTGATGCAGGAGGAGAACAGAGACACCACAGAAAATCTGATACTCAGCAAGTTCTGCCAGTTATCACTTGGCTTTAGAAGTTGATGAATGGCTTGTAGTAATTGGACTTTACATTAATACAAAGCTGTTATATGATCAGCTGTGAATATTTTTAAAGGGTAAAATAATCCCTTAAGCCTGAAGCATTCTGTCCATAGTATTATATCTGTAGTTTTTAATTTGTCCCAGTTTCCAATGTGTACCGTGGTTTTATAAATAAATGTAAGCACAATCTTTAGTCTTGATATCTGCTGATTCAATGTGTAATATACACCTTTTCTAACATGTGCACACATGAAAAATTAGTTGCTAAATTACTATAAACTGAGCCTATTATTCACTCTGGGCTTTGGTCCAACATTTGAGGACAAACTACAAGTAAACAGTTTTGGATTGTAGTGAAGAAATGGAAAGAATAATTTGATTCCTTGGAACTGCTGTACACAAGTTGAAAATATGAACATTTTAATGACGCACTCACCTCAACATTACCAGGATAACAAAAATAACTTGTATTAATAAAATGCCCTTCACATGGGGTTGTGTCTTGGAATGCTTAACAGTAGCAGAGCTTGACCCAAGCCAGGGAGAGGGAGGAGGTGAAGGATAAGACATACATAACACACTGAGCAGTCTACATAATGTGATCATTGAGAATGATTGAGAATGCATGATCATATGATATAATTTGACATTGAGCTAATAAATGGTATTACATAGGAGCTGTTAGGTACAAGAATGGTCAATAGGCCCAAACCTGACCTAACCACTTTCTCACTATCCCTTTCAATCATTTTTCCTCCCCAGAAATGCATTATCTCTTCAACCCATTTATAGATCCTGAACAGAGAAGTAAGGCAAACTAACAAGTATTCATTGATAAAGCTACTATATATTTTAATTATTTGTTCAACCAAAGGCCCATGTTTATTCCTGTCATTTTGAAGAATTATAGCCAATTAAATGCCAATTGCTCATCACAAGCACAGTGACATTGTCTAATAAATAAACTAATAAAACAGATTTTTTTGAACAATGATATCCTCAAGGTTTAGCATTTCACACAATGGGTTCCAATATTTCAAACAGGTATTTTTCAGAAGCGTGTCATTTAAATTTAGCAACCAGCTAAGCATGCAGAACTGAAATAATGCCATTTGAATGAATTTCACAGATTCTACCAATGAAGTGCTGTCCTTGAGCTATACAAGCATCAGATATTAAAATATTGTGTCTAATCTCACTGGTTCAGCTGGCAACCTAACACCAGGAAATAGCTTTGAGTGTAGGATCAATCACATTTATTAAAAACAGACCAGTTTTTAATCACAGTAACAACATGAAATAGGGTACCGCTGACATTTATTGTTGTCCTTGTGCAAAGAATGCATAGCCTTTTTGATCAATGTTCATGCAAAAATCAGTTTCTTTAATCTCTTTGTAACTCATTCTTATCTATTAATGCCAGAATATTTCATGAGACTTACCTTGGCGGAGGTAGGGAAAAGGAGGAGGATGTGAGAGCTCCATATTTTTGGCTCTTTGCTGCAAAAAAACCTCCAAGAGTTTTGCTGAAGGAGGTGCTGTCCAGGCTTTGGGGGGCAATATATGATTGTTGTTGATTGTCCACTGACCAGCCAATAGTTGCTGAGAGCTGGTCCTGTTATCAAACAAGTCATGTTCACTGCGGCTCTTCTGAGATCTGTGGGCAAAATGGTATGTATTCGGGCTGCAGCCTGTGCTCTGAGCTATGCTGGGAGAATCTGAAAACACACAATTGTTAAGAGTCAGAGGTGGAAGACTTTGTGTCCGAATTGGAGGAAGACTTTTGCGTTCCTTCTGTTTTTTGTCTGATGACTGGTATTTCTGAATGACTGGGTCTGTAGTTGTTTTTTGGAATCCACTTTCCTCTCTCCTTTCATGTGGAGCTGTATTACTGTTGGGATCCATGATGCAGTCAAAGGTGGTTATAATATCATCGACTTCGGATGTTTCCTCTCTTAGATATCTGTCCCGAGCTTTATCTTTCCGGCTGCTCTTTTGATCGTCTTTTTTCTTCTTGCAGGAGAATATCTGGTTCAGTACACCAAAGCGACTCTCCTTTTTCTTGTTAATCTGGGAAGGCTGCTGTCTGTCAGGCTCAGATCTGTGTTCAATAAAAAACAGAGCCACTAAACCTTGCCAGAGTTCACAGACATATTTTGCTACTCTAAAATTGAAACCATAAACTCACAATTGCAATATTCACAGTGAGTTATAAAGTTTAAATACCATAAAGCTTTTTAAAAAATATTTTCCAGTTCCTGGAATGTCTTGTTATTTCTAACCGTCAATCATGCATTAATTAAACCATTATTTTATTTTTATTGCTTATATGTGCTCCCAAATAACATTTCAGAGAATTATCTCCTTTTACATTCAATTTCTACTGACACCCTCCTTCAGATGTGAAGTAGGATACGGTTTGTACTAGAAATTGACAAGAAACTGAACTACATCAGGCAATGACTCATTCCAGAATCGCAGAATAATAGAATTATACAGCACAGAAGGAGGCCATTCGGCCTATCGTGTCTGTGGCCGCTCTTTGAAAAGAGCTACTGGCAGGCCTCACCCACTGAGGACAACTAAGATAGAATGTCACTAAACATTTAGATTCAAACCAAGACCTCGGACCGGAGTCCAATGTTTAACTACAGCTGCCAAATTATATATTTTGATAGCAAATACAACTCAGGCACGGCCTGAGTTTGCGTCAAATAACATTGTGTTTATTTATGAATGCACAAGATACTTTCTTGTAACAGGCACTTCACTATTTATTTTGAACATTTCAAGTTGAAAAGTAACCGCAGGCAAATTCCCTCATGAGGCCCAGCTGAAGATGTAAATATTTGTTTGACGCGGATATGCGGCCTGTCTTAATAATAATAATATTAATGCTTACATTTGGTATAGCTCTTTCAAACAGGGAGGACATCCCAAAGAATTCACAGATGTAGCGTAAAGTGGTGTGACTGTGTGTTATGCGGGTTAACATGGCAGCCAATTTGCACACAACAATGTCTGACAAACAACCATGAAGTGAAAGACCAGCACTTTGGGATATCCTCCAGACATGAAAGGCATTATATAAATGTAAATTTGCATTAATTTGTATTGTAAATAAATGTAAAAAAATCTCTGAAAGATGTATTAACTAAAATTACAAAAAACAGTGCAGGCACGAGCTGGTATCAATTTACTTGCATATTTTGCACTAGTATTTATGGTATTTTATTGGTGAATATTTGCATGACTGGTGTATATTTGTATTTCACATTGTATAATATTGACTTGGTTTGCAGTTCCTATTCAAATATAAACCTAGGGTCAAATGAACAGTTCTTTCACTTCTCAGAACTTGGTTTGAATTATTTAAAACTGGTGGTAAAAGATTCATTTATTCTCCTCTACAGTTGTAAAAGCCCTAGATCAGTTATCAGTCTCAGTTGAGTTTGAGTCATTATGAGTTCAGGACCCTAAAGAGCCAATACTTCTTCTAGAATTGGCATAACATTTGAAGTCTCACTTCAAAGACAAGGTGAATGGTGAATGACTTATTATCCTCATTGGAGGTGGTGGGTGGGGGGACTCTGCGGCCATCTTGGTAGTCCGGTTTCTGAGCCAGGTGGGTGTGCAGTACTCCAGGGCACTGCTGATGATAGAGCAGTCAGACTTAGTTTAGCAGCAGAACTTGGTGGGGCAGACCAATCACTGGGAACAGGATTATTCCCACTCAGCTCCCTTTAACCCTGCAAGCCAAGCCCTAACGGATTGGATGATCCTAGCTGGACAAGTAGTGGGAAGCTTGGGATGTGTCCTGAATCTGCATTCCATTCCAGACACAGGGAAATGTACATGGCATATTTCAGGCTCTAAACATGTGGAGCTCTTAGTCTGGTTTTGGATATTCTTAAGCAGGGCAATGTGTTCTGTATGTGTCAGACCGCCCATAAAAATAACAAGAGTGGCTTATACGGTAGATAGGATCAGAGTAGAGTGAAATGTACTTTGTATTATGCCTGTGATATGTGTGATATCAGGAAACTTGACGCTGAAATAAGATATCAAAAGAGGATTTTTTTTTATAGCCCCGGCACTAATACAACTCACCTTGCCAAGGAAAAAAATAATCCTTACATTTCATATTGCTCCTTTCATGTCAAAGGGATGTCTCAAATTTACCGTAAAATGGAGTGACTGTGTACCTTGTGGGTGAATTGGGCAGCCAATCTGCACACAGCAGTGTCCGATAAACAGCTGGGAAGTGAGTGACCCATTTTATTGGGGGATTTGTTGGCTCAGACACCAGAAAAAACTCCCTTCTCTTTTCAAGTAGTACCATGGTGTCTTTAACATCCGCCTTAACAGGCAAATGAGACCTCGGTTTAATGTCTCATCGGATAATAAATAGAAAGACTATATATAACATTGGGCACAGGAATCATTAACAGTAACTCACACTACTTTAAGGTCATATTTATCAAAAGTTTCTTTCCTATAAATATTGACTAGCTTTATATACAACCTACCGGTTCTCCTGCGAGAACAGTTTGATACATGCTGTGTGGCTGCAGTACATTGCATATGTTAGTGGAGTGTTTTCATTGATGTCTCTTGGATTGCTTTCTACCCCCAGCTGTATCAAAGTTTGTACACAATCTGCCTTCCCTGCAGCTGCAGCCCAATGAAGTGGCGTCCTAGAGAGAAAGAACAATGTACATCAAGGACGCTGGCAAATCACTGCTGTGCATTTGAAAATATCCATGTGTTGTACACTGTGTTAAGCTAATCATGTTCAATTTATAGAAGAATATTCTAGGGGAAGTGCATCCTCCCTCCTACGTGTAGAAAAAACCATGTTATAACAACAACAACAAATTACATTTGTATAGAGCCTTTCACATCGGGAGGATGTCCCAAGGTGGGCGGCTGGGTCTAAAGCCTCAACTGGTATGTTGTAAATGACACGCAAAATAATGGCCGACTTCGTCAGATCACCACTGGTGTCACGTCCAACGTGTATATTGCTCCACGTGCAGGAGGTGTGCTAATGTCACTTTCTGCGTGAAGTGATGGCAGCAGTGCTTTCATCAAATGTGCATGCCCAGTAAACAGAAAGTGGATTAGCGATACTTCCTGTGCGTACAGGAATTACATGAGATGTCAACAAATGGCCACGTTTTGGCCCCAGAAGCCAGCAAGTCAGGGCCAGAATTTGAGCATCACTATACTTCCGAATCACACTGATTTACAGCAGACCGTGGTAGAGTAGAGCAATGGTCATGAGATTTCCGTATATATCTTATTCGAAAAGTTCTTAATCTGTTGCAAATGCTGAGGAGAGATTTGGAGTTTTGCAGAAATCTGACAGAGAGGAATGATGGCTGGAACACATTTGTTCAGCTGATGGATTGTATGTGACAGGTTTGACTCCCAAGACCAGCTTGTATGGAGTTCTTAAATTGCTTTGGAACCTGACGTATAAGCATCTAGCATTGGGAAGGATTCTGAATTGTATCCAGTAATACGAGAAATTTACTGGATGTTTCTCCCCCTCACCCCCCCATTTTTACATAAACAGAGTAGTTCTCTGCCAGCTGTCAGGCTTGACATGGTTCCAGATTTCCATTGCCCTTTGCGTGACAAAATGCTTCCTGATTTCACACCTAAATGACCTGGCTCTAATTTTAAGCTTATGCCCCACCAGAGGAAATAGTTTCTCTGTAGTTACCCTATTGAATCCCTTTATTTTTATACACTGAAAAGATCCAATTAACTTGAAAAACAATCAGAGAATTCAGTCACATAACAATAGAAATCCTTGCATTTGATGTGGCACAAGGAATATATAGTACTAGGTAGAGACCCAGTGCCTTTTTGAGTATTGCCTTGTGATCTTTGATGACCACCTGATCAGGCGGACAGGGCCTCGGTTGTAAGATGGCAGCACATTGTCATCTGACATTGCAGCACTTCCTTAGCATTGCACTGGAATCCCAGCCTAGAATAAATGGTTAGTATTTTAATATTCAGTTTTTTTTTACAGACTTTGCTGATTTGGCATTTGCAACTTGACAGTCTGATATTCATAGGTCAGAATATTTGTTTTCGTCAGATGGGTGTCTGACACATGCAGATACCCATCACCATGCTCAAAAGTATCCAAACCAAACAGAGTTCCATGCATCCCACCTATGCATGGAAATTCCAAAAATATTTATTGGAAAGAAATGTGCACTTTCACCCTGGAGGGATGCATCTTGCTTACCTAATTCCGGAGAGTAAGAGGTGCAGGTTGGCAAGAGCCAAGGCTTGAGGAACCCAGCTATCTGATGGACATCTGCCTTCAGCATGTTCTGATCTTTACAGACAGCTTAGATCAGAATTAACATAGCAAACCTGGTTTGGGGACATTGCATTTTCGACCCCAATATTGCTATAATTGCAAAAGTCACATTATAGCTCAAATTGTGCATTTGAATAAGAAAGGATTATTGCATAACCAAAAGTATCATAACCAAAAGTTATGACAGATACCACATTGCTTCTGAGAGGATATAGTGAAATTTTTGCTCAATCTTGGGGTTTACCTATCATCCACATCTAGCGCTTGTAGGTTGCATTCTGGTATCCTCGCCAACTCACAGATGATATCACTGTATCCTGCGGCTGCTGCTATATGTACACAAGTCTTTCCATTCTCATCATCATAATTTATGACAGACGGGCCTAGTTGATGATCCAGAATAATAGACGTCATGACTCTGTTCCCACTCTGGTAAGAGGTGAAATACAAACATTGTAATTAGACTCGGAGGTGCTGAGCATTGGCCAGAAATTACATAGAATGATATGACATGGAAATAGGTCATTTGGCCCAACCAATCCGTGTTGATATAGATTAGTTATACGCTGTTTCTGTTTGAGCTGTGTGGAACAAATAAAACCATAAATAAATATTTTTGCAACAACAAAACACAACAAAAACTTTCATTTTTCAGCACCTTCAAGGAGGACTTCACCAAATGCTGCTCACAGCTCAATTGGGGATCTGGTAGAGGAAGCTAAGGAGGTGAGGGAGCTGAGAGAGTGGAGGAGAAAGTTGTCTAACAAATTACTTTCTCCTTGATATGACAGTCGTCCTGTTAAAGGGAAGAGAACCCATTTGCTTGACTCAGATTTCTTATTAAGCAATTCTGTCAAGAACTGCCATAAACTAGACCCCTCTATTTCTGTCACACTCTAATGCACTGACACTGTTCTTCCACCTCATGGTTAATGTTAGAAGACAAATCTGCAGAGCTTTCTCAATCTGCAGTAGACTGGGAGCAGATGAGTTCCTTTCAGTCCCTACTGGTAAATAATTCATTTGAAATGTGTTGAATTACATGTTACTCCATGTGTATTAGCTAATTATAGCAGTATTACCAGCAAGAAAACAAATCATGATCAAATCCTTTAAGGCATTTGAGACATTAGGAATGTAGAATGCAAACCACATTAATTCCTTGGAATACTGAAAACTCTGCTGTGCAATTTACTGATCCAATTGAACAACAGTACTAGGTCACTGCTGACTTTGCAAAATGAATATATTTTCTATATTACATTGCATTTTGTTAAAAGTAAATGGGAATGAAAGAATTGCTCTTTAAAAGTGCCAACACTGACACGATGTGCTGAATGCTCTTCTTCTGCACTGTACATTTCTATGTCTCCCACCCCACAACATTTCATTTTGCCTTCAGCTGTATTTTTTTCAATCGAGCAATAGGAATCAATGGCAAATAACAGTGATAATAAACAGCAGACTAAAGTCCAAGTATGTACAAGTCCTGCCAAGCATAGTGTTCTTTATTTACATTAAGATATTCTCTCCTAACTTGCAGGCAACATGTCTGCCGGAGAAAAGCGAACACTCTGTGACTGTGATCATTTCAGCGTCTTCAGACATTCAATACTCTTAGCTTAGATTACAAGTTAGACCCAACCCAATGTAAAAAAGGGCTGTAACAATTATAGGTGGGTGCGGAGATCTAAAGGAGATTAACTGCTATAATGGCTTTTAAGTAAATTTGGATCTATGACCATGTTCTGCAGAACAATTCTGTTATCTGTATCAGTAAAAAGGTACATCAGTCATCATCAGGACGAGCAGCGAGTAAAATAAAGCTAAGCCACTTAGTTTCCTTTTCACAGATGATGATCATTTTGCATGTCAATCTGGAGAAGAAACCTGGCTGAATTATCCTTGTCTGAGGGTGCTGATTTCAATTGTAGAACTCCCCCTATCTCCCTGACTGGGATTCAGATGTTTCTTTACGGTGTTACTCACCACCACATTACATGGGACATTCATTAATTAAGCTTCGGGGGAGCTAACATTCCATTTTAAGTCATTTCCAAGTGAATTTACTGAGAAACAAATGAACTTCACCTGCACTGCCCAGTGAAGTGCTGTTTTAAAGTCCTTGTCAACCAAAGTGGGGTCAGCTCCTTTCTGCAGTAAGGCCTGAACATGCTGTGGTCGATTGTGAAAAGCAGCCCAATGGAGTGGGGTCATACCCTGAACAAAAGATGGAAAGAACAAAACAAGATTACAAACTGGCATAATTTTTTAAATAAATTTATGGTTTAAATCTATATGTGCAGTATATATAAAGTAAATTCAGTAGTCGTAGAACCTTAGAAATAATAAATAAAGAAATAATTCTCGCATTTGATAAGGCACCTATCATGTTGTTGAAATGCCTGAAAGCACTTATAGAATATATTCTAAAGTGAATTCACTGTGCATTTTTGTGGGAGAAACATGGAAGCCAGTTGTGCACAGCAGTGTCCCACAAACAGTTGTGGATAAAGCTACAATTTTTTTTGAGGGTTTATTACCCCCAAAAGCAATCCATCTCTTGACTAACAATTGGGTTCCTACTTACTGCTAGGTAAACAGAGGCATCTGATATTTGGCCCATCATATCTGTGCCCTTGGTTTTGTATCACAGGCAAGAAACAATCAAGGGCTCCCAAAGGATCTCAAAGGTGAAATAGTTTATAAAGATTGGAACAAGCGAAAACAATTATTTTTATTAATACATCCCTGATTGCGCATGCACAGCAAACAGGAAATGGCCTTATGCCTGATGATCTGGAATTCAGCCATTTTTCTTTTAATATGGGAACAACTGACACGCAGGGAGTGAATCGGTAGTCACACCCATTATTGTGCCTCACTACAACTGAGTTGAGATGTTATGGATTCAAAACATCACATTATAACTGAGCTGCATTGTTTATTTAAACTATGCTGCACCATTCACACAGCATTAAATGTCCCAGTCTCCAATCTCTCACATGTAAGGGATGCACTGTGAGTGAACCTAGTGAGCACACACATAGAATAAAGTGCACATTTACATTTCCTGTACGGACAATAACTTATCTAAAGTCCTTTTCATTCCCCAGCAACACAACATGCTTTTTTACAGAGTTGCAAACATTCTTGTTGTTTGGGGGAAAATTATGCATTTTATATCGAGAACCCTCCCTACATTTGTGGAAAACTAAGACCGTTTTTTAGTGGCTTCACAGGATCACTGGAAGTCCAATAAACTGGTGCAAAAGGTTCACAAGGAATTTCAGGCATAAATTTAACATTTGTTTTCTGATTAACTCCCCAAATTGGTTACCAATCTTAAATTACATAAGTAATGCTTAGTTTGTAATTTAGGGCCTATAGTTCCCGTGATCAGGTTTGTAGTATGTCTAAGATCCCTGTATATTCAACATTTGGTAGAATGACACTCATATAGTTTTTACATTGCTTGTTTCTTGCCAGGTTTCTTGTGCTGAATGATATAAACATCCTGTTCTAATCCATTTGTTCCACTGACATGTACTCATAGCTGAAATGTATTTATACTCTATGGGACTTGTTGTTTTTCTGCAGGTCCTTGAGGAAACATCAGTTTTGTTTGCTCAGCTGTGGAAAAAAATTATAACATTTTGATAGCTGCAATGGAGTGTGTGTGACTTTCCTCTGCTCTTGCATCACACAGGACATGTGGTAAATTGATTTAAAAACCTCTCCATTGTTTGGGGAAGATAACGTCTCGGAACGTTTCACAATGACAGGCTCGGATGCCGATCCAGGGAGAAGGGAGGGGGGATGGAGGAGGGAGAAATGACCATAGACAGTAGGTTTTTAGGCAGCATTTAAAGACAGATAGTGGAGGGAGATGGAGGGGTAGAGGGAAGGAGTTCCAGAGATTAGGGGCTTAGTGGCTGGAAAGTCAGCCACCAAAGCGGTGTAGAGGGATGGGGAACAAGCAGCAAGACCAAGTTAACTATCGCAGGGGCAAGCAGAGGAGTGGGTATGAGGAAAGCAGAGCTAGGGAGGTGCTTTTGGGAAGCTTTCAAACTGCTTTGCCATTTTGTTAGTGGAGGGCAGATCAAGACAATCTATATGAACACTAGATCCTCTTCAGTTGAGGATTGTTTGAGGATCCAGCCCTCATCTGACATTTGCACATCAGCATTTTCTAGCAGGGAGGAGGTGAGGGTGTAACTAGAAAATGATCAGGAGCAGGAGACCCTGGTTGATTTTTTTCAACCACTATCCTAAGGAGAGCTGCAGCCAATTCTCCCTATAGCTGCCTGAATTAGCTGCCTGAATTATATCATGGAATGATAGAAGTTACAGCACAAAAGGAGGCCATTCAGCCATTGTGTCCGCGCTGAATTTCTGAAAGAACAACTTGCCTCCCTGCAAGGGACTGAATTGAGCTCAAATACATTTATGTTCATTTTAAGAATATAAATGCTGGAAGAAGCGCAAATTGGATTGTGGCAATATAATGACCTTTTAGTAATTACAATAATTACCCTGAGTTATCTTAGTGATATTTTGTTTCCCCCCTGATAAGATGCTTTAATGGTTACTAAACCGAATGCTGGTAAATTGGGCAGCTGAATGTAAATTAATAACACCTAATTATAATAAACTCTATTGGCAAAAAATGATCTTCTACAGGTTTCAATGTGTGAGGGATTAGATACGTAACCTGGATATTGTCTTCAGGAAAAAATTTAAGTTAGGCAATTTAACATGTTTATCTAAACATGGAAAATAAGCTGAATTGTGCTTGCATCAGAGTTATGCCTTTCCAGTTGGATCAGGCTCTCACCTCTGTGTCAGAAAGTTGTGGGTTCAAGGCTAACATATGGAGTTTGCACTCACAATCTAGGCTGACACTTCAGTTCAATGCTGCAGGTTTGTTACATTGTGGGAGTTGGATGAGATAATAAAATAAGATCCCGCTGTCTGCTCAGGTGATCATTAAAGATCCCATGGCACTATTCGAAAAGAGAAGTTCTGGCCAAATAAAATTAGTCATTCAATTCATGGTTCTTTATCAAATGCACCTCCTTGTCCCTCTACTCACAGACATCATAAACCTCTCCCTGTCCACTGGCAACGTTCCCACCCCTTTAAAAACGGCTGTCATCATCCTCCCTGGATCCATTCTTGCTCTCAAACTACTCCCCATCTTGAACCTCCCCTTCCTTTCCAAGGTCCTAGAATAGAATAGAATAGTTGCTTCCCAGCTTCGCTTCTCCCTCTCTCGCTACTCCCTTCACGAACCCCTCTAATCATGTTTCCGTGCTGCCCACAGCACAGAAACAGCCCTGGTCAAAGTGGCAAATGACATTCTGTCCATCAGAGCTCCCTCTGCCTCCTCATCCTCCTTCACCTCTTTGCTGCCTTCGATAACGTTGACCACTCTATCCTCATCCACCAACTCTCCTCTCACCTCGGCCTTCACGTCTCTGTCCTTGAATGGTTCAGAACATACTTCTCACATCGCCTCCATTTCAACTCCACAAACGGCTTCTCCTCTAGCCCCCGGACCGTCTCGTGCGGTGTTCCTCAGGGCTCTGTCCTTGGGCCCCTCCTCTTCAATATCTATATGCTCCCTCTTGGTGACATCATCCGCAGACATGGGGTCAACTCCACATGTATGTGGATGACACCTAACTGTACCTCCCTGCCTCCACCCTCAACTCCAGGGCCACTGCTGTACTGATAGAATGTCTGTCAGACATCAAGTCCTGGATGAGAGCTAACTTTTGAACTTCAGCAAGACCGAGGCTCTCCTGATTGGCTCCCGTCAACACATCCACACGTCAGGCACTGACAGCATCACCATCCATGGTTGCACACTCCACCTTACTAAGCAAGTCTGGAACCTTGGCGTCTTGTTTGAGCCTCAACTATCCTTTCTACCCCACATCCATGCCATGACACGTTCTGCCTGACCGCACCTCCGCAACATTGTCCGGCGCCGACACTATCTAACTCTACAGGCTGCTGAAATCCTCATAATATCCAGGCTTGACCATGCAAACTCATTGCTTGTCATGCTCCCCACTCCACCCTCCATAGGCTGCAGATCATTCAGAACTCTGCAGCCCGTGTCCTCTTGCCCCAGGCTCCATGATACTATCACACCCATCCTCGCCCGACTCCACTGGCTTCCCATCACACAGAGGATACAGTTCAAGATCCTGGTCCTCACCTTCAAAGCCCTCCATGGCCTTGTTACCCTACCTCTGCGACCTCCTAACCTTCTATCAACCTGCCTGCTCCCTCCGCTCAGTGGGCTCCATCCTGCTTCACGTCTCCTGCCTCGCCAGCCCCACCATTGGCGGTTGGGCTTTCAGGCACTCTGCCCCCACCCTCTGGAACTCCATCCCACAGTCCCTCCGCCTCGCCCCCTCCCTTGCCTCCTTAAAGACCCATCTCAAGACTCTCCTCATCGACCGTGCTTTCGATCTCCCTCCTTCCTCACCCTGCCCTCTACCCTCCCCAAACCTGACCCCCAGCTCGGGTCCGAAACACTGACTGTCCAGTGCCTTGGGATGTTCTTCCCAACGTGAAAGGCGGTATACAAATGTAATTTTGTTGTTGTTAAAGATTACTCTTATTTATCAGTAATTCTAATTAATAAGTGAATGGATTTAATAATTGCAGGTCATTTAAAATTCTATGCTTCGATCATGTGTACATTAATCCTCCCTAGAGCCAATTGCATACCATTCATTGAAGTTGCTGATTAATATTAAGAAAAGGATCTTAAAATCACACACACAGTATTCATTCCTTTTTTTAAAAAATGCTTCTCAACATTGAATGTCTTCCTGGCACTATTGACTGCTCTGTGTAGTAATTATAGTAGATTATAGGATAAAACAGATCATCTTTGAAATTTATTATCAAGGACATGTGCAAACAATACTATAAATAGCCTGTTCCCTCCGCTCAGCCGGCTCTGGCCTGCTCCACATCCCCCGACCAACCTGCTCCACCATTGGCGGGAGAGCCTTCAGCCACTCTGCCCCCAACCTCTGGAATTCCATCCCCCAATCACTCCGCATCGCCCCCTTAAAGTCCCGCCTCAAGACCCTCCTCTTCGACCATGCCATCAGCCACCACCCTTTCCCTCCCCTCCCCCCCTCCCCCCCCGACCCCAGCTCGGGTCTGAAATGCTGTACACTGTCCAGCGACTT